AAAAGAAATTGGTACAAGTCTGAAAGCAACACAGACTTTAATTCTGTTTTCCTGCTAGGCTGTCTTGAAATCCTTGAAATGATCTGATACCTTGAAATGATCTGATAATGGTATGTAATTTGATTAACTGCACTATAAGATATATCACAGCTGACAGGAAAATAGAAACCGTATTCATCTCTGACGCTATACAGAATGAGAATTAGTTTCCTGGCCACTGGAGCATGTATCCAGGGAACAGAAATTTGATTTGCATGCTAGAATTCTATTTAGAAATTCCCCTTTTCTAATGTATTACGATAGAACTGTGAGCACATATAGTGTGAGCATTTTGAAGTCCATTCTGAATCTGAAATCCACAACACTGTCGCTGTGTTCTTTCGAATGTAACTATTAATTTTATAAACTTTCTTACATAGTCAGGTCCATGCCGATGTTGAAACAGAATCTTTTTGCTTTACCGACGTTACCTGATTCTTCTTATAACTATATTTTTTTCGCCATTATAATGATTTCAAAGTATAGTTAAAATATTCCTAACGGAATGTCGCTTAGTCGAAATCCGGCTTTACCAAAATGGTAAAGAAAGATGATAAAGGAAAATCAAAAAGCAGTTGTCTCCAGTTCTTTCAACTCAATATTTTTTAACTGCTTATTTTTTTAATGTAAATATACGTTTCATAATGTCAAGAAGTGATCTCAGTATAATCTTGACTGCAAAAATAAATGGCCTGTGAAATATCCGGGAGATGATTTCGCAACATCCATTTTCATTGATGAACATAGCTATCACTAGCTTATGTATTTATTTTCTTTTCGCCGCTTTGGGCAGTCTGTACTGATTCTAAATTCTGCCGCTTGGTGCGGCTAGACTAATTGCACGCATATCTACCTGCACCCATGAGTTATATTTTTCATCTACATCCATGGAACTTAAGTTCAGTAGCTAAAAGCGTTAATTACTGTGAAATCCTCATAAGCAACATAGACGATCTTGGAGATCCCCTTTGCAGAAATGATTACTGGTGATACTTAGTACCAATACTGAACATCATCTGTAGTCAGAAATATTATCACTTTATTTTCACACAGAATTTATCGCCTTAGCGAGCTAATCGCCATGATGAGAGGATTCACTGTAATTTAATGCATTAAATTCTCTCGAAAACGACCACTCACGGTTCTGGATTAGTTTGGCGTTCTGTGTATGGTGATCGTCCAAATCCAAAGGCCCCGGACTCTTTGGATTATAATATCATCCGAGCTGTCCATAAAGTAAAGTCAAGCTTCCTGGTCAAATACTTCAGACTTTTGGATCTGCAACACAATCCCTAGAGTCTTTAAGACGGGACAGATTATTCTGTTCTCAAAGCCTGTTAAGGATCAAAATGACCCGCCTTCGTTCAGGCCAATCTGCTAGCACCCGGCTCTGGGGAAGGTTTATGAAAAGCTAGCGGTAATGTGATGTTCTGCTTAACAAGCAGTGGCACAACCTCAGAGGCTTAGTTTGAATTCGAGAAAATAGGTCCACATTAAATATCCTATACATTATTCAACATGAACTGAGAGCAATTAAAAGCAACAAATACCATGCAGCCGTTCTTAGTCTGGACCTATAAAGTGCATTCGATTCTATGTGATGACCCGCCAAAATAGAGACACTGCATGGAGCCTGTATTCTTAATAATCTTCTCTAAGTGACCTACGTTGTGGTCCACAGTGTAGGGCAAATTACTCGAAGCAGATTCGAAGTTGCCCACAGGGGATCATGCGCTGGTACAGACCCTTGGAATGTTACTTTCAATTCGATGCTTAAAGCTCAATGGCCATCGCACACACGGACTCCGGCATTTGATGACGACGACACGTTTATTGCTCAAGGGCATCATTCTATAGAAAAAATGCAATGAAGTTATAGCCCTGTTCCATAGTCTCTGTTGCCAGAAACGTCTTCAAATCTCGGAAGTGAAATCCAGGTAGATTATTTTCCACAAACCTGGTCAAACTATCTAAAGAAACCCATTAATAGAAGTGAAGGAAACGAGCCAAGAAATTCAAACTCCTGAGCCTCGTTATAGATGAAGACTGTAGACTTGACTTGGAACCGCATCTGCGAGCACAGAGGACCAAATCTTTCCGCATAGCGAATAACCTTAAAAACATGCAAGGTTCTGATTGGGCCTAAGGATACATATTCTCAAATAATTTACTTCAATATAATAAAAATATAAATAATTTTTATATTACGTCCAAAGAGGCGTTTCTTTAACATTTTACGTGTCACCTTTATTTACTAAATATCATGTGCTTCGCATTTAAACAACATAAAATTCAATTCAACAGCAATATCATAAAATAATTTAAAAGAACATATCTTTAGAATTTCCAATACACAGTTTCGCGCGCTGGAGATAAAAAAAAATTAGTAGAATATTGCCATTTTTCGCTCTGAAATCCTTGAGTTTCTTGATCAAAAACTCGTAAATGATTTACAAAATATCAAATAGATAGATGTTTTATAACAGTGCGAGAAACATACATACATTTATGCAGATTCTTCATTATTTAATTTCTTTAAATATAAACACAGGACGATAATATTTGGTGGCAATAATTTGAAAAGTGATTAAGATTTTTAAAGTTTTCGACGCAAAATGCCTAAACGAAATTAATAGCTCTTCTGGGCTAACATCGTTTTGGCTAATAAATTATTTTTTCCCATCTTTCTTTATGAAGAAATATAAGACACTTTCAGTTGTTATCAGTAATTTTACTGCAGAAGTGATTTGATACCCCCAAATGTTAAGCTACCTATCAAGCTATGACATAAAGTGAAAATACTGTTTCTAAAATCGCCAGCTGCTTTTTTTTTTTTTTTCAATTCCTCACTAATCAGCGCGAAGGTTGAAAAGAAAGTTTAAATATGAGGAAAAGTCGACAGCAAAAAAATAAATCGATTCGCTTTCTATAAACCTATGCGCTGACGAGGAAAAAAGCAAACTTGGTTAAGAACCGCTGAACGTGTACGTGCAATCATTAAATGATGAGTAACTACAGTAACAGACGCGAGGAAGATTCTTCGCATAGCAGTGTTTTTCCTTGTGACAGCACGAGGCAACAAGCTCGCGCTTACATCACGAACAGCATGAGCTTTTTTCATCTTTTCTTCTACTTTCTAACAAAGAGGCTTGAGCGTAGAAAAATTCTCACTCAGCTGTATTTAATTTTGCATATACAGAGAGTGTTTACACATTTTTGTAACGATTTTAAAAAGATTTATGTATAAACAAAAGTTAGAAATTTTTTTCTAATATGTTCAGTCTGAAAGCTCTTTTGTTAGACTATCATATTACGTCTTGATTTCCAAGATAAAAGTACTTTTCTTAAAAATCAAGGTTGATTTTATTCCACTCCTCCTTCACAATCTTTCACAGTCCATCTAATGTTCTGGGATGCCGCTAATAAGGAGCTCGTTTTAAAAGTCCAAAATACACATCCATGGGAGACACATCAGGAGACTTGTGTGGGATGCATTTAAAGGGAATAGCTTCAATTCCGGTTTCACTTCTCATTTTTTTCAAAAAATACAGCAGTAGATTTAGAGGTATGGCTGAGAGCCTTATCCCGGTGGAACTTAACACAGTGAAGATTGTTTGGTTAAAGAGATGGAATTTCTTCTTTAAAAATAGGCATTAAAACATATTTCTGATAGTAATTATCGTATGCTTTTTTTCGTATAGTGTTGCCATTGCTCGCTTTGAAATCGTGGAGTATGTTAATCAAAAATTCTTGAATGTTTGACAAAATATGAAATAGATAATAAAACAAATTCCAAATTTGGCCTTCCAGAACTGGATGTCTCTAGGTACTGTCGTTTTTTTCACAGTACGAGAAACGTACATACATTCATGCAGATTCTTCATTATTTAATTTTTTTAAATATAATGCAGGGCTCTAATATTTGATGACAACAATTTGAAAACTGAACCGACGCAAAATGCCAAAACGAAATTAATAGCCCTTCTGGGCAAATTGCTCCTTTGGACTAATAAAAGATAATGACTCTGTAAAGTCATTAGATAATTTTGAAGCAGGAGACGTGAAAAATGTGCAGTGACCTCGCGGGACTCCGGACCGTGGACCTGTCTGAATACGCGTCGAGTATGCTTCCAATTAGACCACGAAAGATGATGAAAGGAGTGAGGAAATACCTTATAACTCTACAAAACTACTTAAAAACACTGTTAAATTTCGAATAATTTTTCCCCGTTAATTATAACATAAATTATTCTTTTCCTGTAACTGATAGTTTTCTGTTCTAGGGAAGAGTTGATGGCCGAAACAAATGCCACAACTTTTAAATTTGAAATTTTGAGTTTAAATTTTATTTAGTTGTCAAGATTTAGTTTTATGATTTGACAACCGTAGATTTTATTTTTATTTTAGGAGAGAAGAGTAATGTCAGCACATTTTTATATTTTAATGTAATATATTTTAGTAGCCTTTATTAAATAAATACTCAGATGACTAAGCAGGTCACTTACGTAGAGCCACATCATATGCCTGACTTGATACATTTTCCCTAGTTTTCCAGCTTCTGAAGTATCCGGGCACATAAGAAAACTACAGTACAAGTATGCGTAACACTTGACCTTTCAGTATATTTCAGTTATTAAATTCAGCTCTTCGATATTTGCCGCCATATTTATATTATTTTATAAAGCAGATTATAGTGAAATCTTCCGCAGAAGACTAGCATAGAATATAGACAGTGGCATAGAATATAGATAATCGTCGATGCTGAACATTGTCACTCGAAGGGTGGCACCTCCAGAGAAGAACAAATCGTGTGATACAGTGGGTTAACTCAAACTTAAGAAGGCTTCACTGTACAGTGTGTACACAAAAACACTCCCTGATTTGAACTGGCTGTAAAATTAAATATTTTTTGCAATGTGTTTGTAGTAGTAACTCAAAATATTTTTGTTTCTTTCCTACAGGTTGTAACATTTACTCATTTTTCCGCTGGAGGGCAGTCAATTGAAATGGCGCTCTCCAAACAGGAACGCAGCTGGTGTGTGTTAGATTTCCACACAATGAAGAATGTTGTTTCTGTTCAACGCGCGTTCAGACACAAATTTGATGTGGAACCACCTTCGAACAAGTCAATTTTGAAGTGGTTGATGGATTTCGTCGAAGAAAGATGCATCTGTGACAAGCGGAAAGGCCGCTCTGGCCGACCAACAGTCCCGCTGTAATTTATTGATCGTGTGAGGGAAACTTTTCTCTGGAGCCCCAAAAAGTCAGTGCGAAGAGCGAGTAGAGAACTAGAAACCCCCAAAAGTACGATTAGCAAGATGTTACGAAAACGTTTGCACTTTCATCCATATAAACTGCAATTGGTGCAGAAGTTAAAACCTGAAGACCATGCAAGGCGACAGCAGTTCTGTTCGGATCTCCAGCAGTTACTGGAAAATGATGACAATCTTCTGTCGAAAATCATTTTGAGTGATGAAGCAACCTTCTACCCGCATGGTAAGGTAAACAGATACAATGTGGTGATATGGGGGGGATCAGAAAATCCCCACACCATGCTGGAGATACAACGTTATTCTCCTAAGTGTAATGTGTTTTGTGCCATATCAGAACAGAGAGTTTATAAGGTATTTCTCCCGCCTTCTAGCATGCCTTCGTGGTGTAATCGGAAGCATACTCGACGAGTATTCGGGAGGTCCATGGTTCGAGTCCCTGAGAGATTGCTCACTTTTCACGTATCGTGCTTGGAACAATGTCCTAATGTTTCTACAAGTTTACAAGTTATTATTTTTCTTTGAAGGTGAAACTGTGTCCGGTGACAGTTACATGGATATGTTACGGAACTGGTTGATGCCTGAACTTACAAAGGTAGGTGTTCAACACGATGGGGCAGCACTGCACTGGCATCATAATGTTTCTAACTTTCTCAATGACGTCCTGCCAAAGAGATGGATTGGTCGTGTTGGAATCAATTACGTGTGTGTACGTCCTCCCCCAGCTCCATCCATGGAAATTCTGCAGGACAGAATCACAGAAGCTTTAAACACAATCACGTCGGATATTCTTTTCAGAGTATGGAATGAGCTCGATTATCGCCTAGCTGTTTGTCGTGTTACAGGTTGAACACACATTGAATGCCTGTAATGAACATATATCACATGAAACTTTGAGTTGTTACACGTTTACCCAAAAAATAAACACAATATTTCCCAAGGTTTTCATTTTATAACCAAATAAAATCGAGGAGTGTTTTTGTGCATACACTGCATTTTGTTTTCTTTCTTTGACTTGTTTTATACCTACACACTAGAATTTTCCTTTGTTTCTGACATATCTCTTTAGGTCCTAGCTAAATATTGGACTAGATCAAAATTACTATACAACAAGGTTTGATCTTGCGTGCTGAGTCTGTTCAAGAGCAACTATTACTTTCTGTCTTCGTTTCTACCACTTTTGTTAAGTAAGTGACGTCACTGTTGGGAAGAGCCTAACCTTATTTGTCTACTGACTCTTGGTTTCTCTTCGCCAGTTCCTTTCCCTCTGCCTTTTATTTATCCATTTTTGCATATATACTTCCATAAATGTAAGTACCCATGGAAAGACAGATTTCTCTAATGTTGTAATCATTTTAACATTAAAGTCACCTACATTATAAATAATAGATCATATTAAAGTTATAAGAGCATTTTCTTAGAGACATTAGGATTTTTTTTTTTTTTTTTTTTTTTGAGGGGGAAGCAGGCAAGATGAAAAATTAGCAGCCGCCTTCGCCGGAATCGAACCACGGACCTCTGGAATACCGGCCCAGCGTGCAGAACCACTACACCACGAAAGCACGCTAGAAAGGCGAGAGAAATACCTCATATCCTCCCCCTTTTAAAGGGCGACTGAGGTTTTTAGGGGACCCAATCGACAAATCCTGGGTGAGGAGAATCATCATCCAATACACTTTTAGTTCGGGCGCCACTGTAGAGTCATTAGTTTTTTTAGAGGGGAAAGCAGGCAAGATGAAAAATTAGCAAAGTGTTCGCCGGGAATCGAACCACGGACCTCTGGAATACCGGCCCAGCGTGCAGAACCACTACACCACGAAGGCACGCTAGGAAGCCAGGAGAAATACCTTATAATTCTACCGCACTTGTACGACTTATCCAGGAGGAAAATAATCAAAAACCAATGGATTCTTCAAGACTTATCGTGACTAATGTAGTATCAGGTAAAGTACGGAAAGTTGTGAAACAAATCACTAAAAGTCTTAACACTGAGCGGGAATGGCATAGTAAACATTGTTGATGATCACACTTTTCCTTGTACAGTGAAGCAGGTTTTCCAAATACTGTTTCTCCTGTGGAAAATTTCAACATTGATAATTATTTATACTTTACAAATTATTGGCGAATGTAAAATTTGGAAATTTGTAAAATGGTCCAAATGGGAGGCTTCACTGTGTATTCATTCTCATATCTGCTGTATGGAACTGGAACATTTTACCCTTCCAAAAACGATAGTTTAATCATTTCCTGCATTTTTTATCGTAGATTCACATGTGCTAAAAGTTATTACTATAGATAACTGAAGAAAAGTTAAACAAGTATTTACTACCATAATTACGTAGTATTATTATATAATATATAGCAAGCTTTCCACACGCAATATTTTATTTTTCATGTATATACTTTCTAATTTAAAAGAACTCGAGAGGGAATTGGCTGCAACCGAGTTTTCCTTTCACCGTAAAACACTACTTTCATCAATTTAAAAATGTAAAGAAGGGGGAGAAAAAATGCGCCATTGTTCCGGACCTCCGCAACTATTGCGAAAGTGATACGATACATGATGTGGTTAAAAAAATGGCAAACAGAAACAAGTTTGCCCTTGACACTGTCCGATGTGAAGAACAAGTGGACTTACAAATACGCCATCACGTCAAGCGAGAGAGGGACAATTTTTAACTAATTTTTTAGACGACCATTTTTATGAAGACAAGGCAGAGCGGAAAAGGGAAACTTAATGCCGTAAAAGACTTATTTTTATATTTAAAAAAAAATATACACTAATAAAACAAATGAAAAGCGCTCATTTGGCTACACATGCTCCGAGCTTAACTGCTTCGTATAAACTTCGAGATTTTGCTAGTCAAACCCGTTGCGCATATTTAATTTTTTTTTAAACTTTACTCGTCAGGCTAACCCTTTTAACTTTTTGCTGTTTGTCCTTTCGAAGTTTGAAGGTCACCTAGTGAAAGATTCAAGGTGGGAGGGGGACAGAGGAAAAAAGTACTCGCGATTTTTTTTTTTTTTTTTTTTTCTCTTGGTTTATCACGTGCAACGATGCGAAGAGGCATTATATCTCATTTTTCCTATTTGCAGGGATGGCAACAGCGGCCTTGGAAACAGCGCGTAGCGTCACCAAACGGCGTTTCATCGGAACGTCTCGTTTAAATCAAAACTCATGATGCATGTACAAATTTTTAATGCTTTTTCAAGTCACGTTGAAAACTATGTTAGAATTTTAAATAAACCAAATAAATACTGTATTTATCTTCCCTCTAGGATCGTAAGCATTTAAATAAATTAGCAATAAACCTTTCATCATACAAATTAGTTTTTAAAGTGTTTTATACAAATTATTATGAATTCTCAGTTGGCATGTATTTTTGAAACTTTTACGGGTGTTTACTTCCTTTAAAAACTGAGTTCAGACAAAGAAACAAATTCAGTTTGAATTACTCGGGCGTAGCTAGAGCGGGGCAAGGGGGGCATTTGTCCCCGGGCGCACAATCCAAGGGGCGCCAAACTGATGTTACGACATTTTAGAATTAAATGTTTTCCATTCTTGGCAAGCAGTAGGGGGCGCGAAATCTTCAGTTGTCCCTGGGCGCTGAAAACCCTAGCTACGACTCTGGAATTACTCAAGGAATTCAGGATTATTCAAGATAATTGATTCGATTTTATACGAGCGCAGTTCCGCTGCTAAAAGAACATTAATTTTATTTATATAAATTTTATGGCTTAAGTAATAATTGACTATTGTTCTTAACTAATAAACTAACTCTAACAAAATTACTAGTTTGATCCTTTAATTTGGTTATTGTTAATTGATAGTAGACTGGTTTGTTCCCCTCGACAAGTCAATTAATCTGTGATCAACACAATTACTTTTGCAGTAGACTGGAATTTGAATTTAATATTTGGAATTTTTTACGCTCAAAGGAATTTTCTTTACAGATTTAAAATAATTTTTACTACAATAGATCTCTATAACTTGGATACTGACTTGCTACTTAAAAATACTTACTAAAGTTTTTTTTGTAATAATTCATAGGTTTAATTAAATTTCTTTTCTTTAAAGTTTATATATAAATACCTTTTCTAATAATAAATTATATATATGTGATACTGCGCCATTATTGTAATAAAGACTGTGCCATTATTGTAATAAGATGACTTGGTGAGAGAGTTGTAACGGACTGACGTTGGTTTTCTGCGTTATAACTTGAAGAGCGTTCAAGTGAAGTTGAACTGCGTTATAACTTGTTAGAAAGATGACAAACTACATAGTTAGAAAGATGACATTCGAAGAACTTACATAACGGTAAATTCCACAAATAATTTTATTCCTTGATAATGCACATCATCACTGTGGGTGCGCTGTGCGCCCACCAATTTTGTACAGCTTACATCTTAAACAATGAACGAAATTAGAAAAGTAAAACTAGCGGCAAGGCGACCTAGCGAAAAGAAGCAGAGGTGAAAAGCGAAGAGAGTTGCGACGCAGTTGACCTTTTATATCGGATTACATTTCAGATCACATAGCATACACACACACATATATATATATATATGTAATATACTCAGGAGCAGGAATTTCGGGTGCCGTTGTATGTTGTCCGCTTCACGCGGCAATTAGTGAAAATTCATTGATGTACGGCCAACTCCTCTTGATTTTACCGAAACCACATGTCGCCGAGCTGCTTCGTGCAGCAGACCACATGATTAACGCCCATAAACTAGGCATAATTCAATCTGAGGCAAAGCGTAGAAATATTTCAGGATGAATTTTAAGTCAAACGAGTTAGTTTTGGTTCGTAAAGCATTTTAACTGGATAATATATTGGTGTAAAATTATTATTGGGTGCGCTTGAGTTTTAGTTCAATTTACATCACTAGAATTACGTAGAGTCATAATGACATAGATTTTCTCGAATGACGCAGTGCAATAGATGTTGCTATTTTTAGAATATAGAAAAGGGAAATTGATTAATGCTGCTAATTTAATCTTTAGAAAAAAGACTATCTAAAATATTCAACTATCCAATTAAAAGCAAGAAACCACCAGCAAGAAAGTCAAGAAAGTGAACTCCCTTTGAAAGAGAACTAAAACTAACATCCCTTAAGATTTCATCCTGACATTACCACTTGCTTTCCAGCTTTGCCTCGATAGACTGCTGTCTGTCTGCTGCTGCTTTCTTGCTACAAAGTTATCAAAGATGTAAGCCTTTGGAACAGGCACATTTATGTGCCGACTTGTGTGTAGTGGCAACATGTTGCTGAAAAAAAACTGAAGATTAATCTATTTTCGCCTCCAATTTCCTAGTCATTATGGATCGACACTTCTACGTCATCAAAATTCCTGATGCTGAATTTTTCTTACATATATCATAATAATGAAAACGACGTAGTAATGTTGATGGCCTAGAACGTACATCCATATTGAAGAGGAAGATATGCGTAATGACTAGGAAACTTGGCAGTTGAGTGAGACTAAATATTCATTTTTATTCCAATTGACATTTTTGACCACAATTTACTTGACACTCTAATTGTGCTATTCAAGACATTTACATTTTGATACTGTTACGATAGGAAGAGAGCACAGCGAAATAGCGTCCAATTAGCACAGTGGTTGAAGCTTGAGTGCGCCATATCCAGTATGGAAGCTCGCCAAGAGAAGGTATGGTTTAGGTTAGAAATGTTTCAGGTCTCAAATTTTGAGTTCAAGCTGGAATTAGGTACATCATCATCAAGCCATATGGCATAGATTAATCTAGAAATGTAGCAGTCCCCCAAAAAGATGTTACGATTTTTAGAATACAAAGGAATACCCAAATTAAAAATGAGGATTAAGAGGCTATTACTAATCAGATTATAAGCTGATTTACATATTTTTTTATGAACTGTTAGCACACTCTCGGCGCGTATCGAGAGGTCCAGGTTCGAGTCCCGGCGAGGATACTGCTAATTTTCCACTTCTTCAGCATC